GGGGGGGGGGGGGGGGGGGGGGGGGGGGGGGGGGGGGGGGGGGGGGGGGGGGTAGTTGCTCACCTTTATTGTCGACAATTGATGACCACGTGCATACACCTCCCGAGAAGGAGCCCCGTTCTTAGTCCGACTGGAGGTGGTGCTAACAGCGTTCGGGCCCTGCTGATGTGTGTCCACAGTTTGCGTGAGGAAGTCGTCTGTGAGCAGTGAAGCGGAGAGACGGGGGATACATACTTCGTGCTCTTGCTGTTGATTTTAATATCGCACATCGGGAAGACGGGGGGTGCTTGATCGTAAAAAAAATAAATAGCAACCTTCTTCGCTATCTCTTGTCCTCCTTGCTCCCTTCCAAGGTGACGGTCGGATCTCTGGAGCTGTCTGCCAACAAGGATATCCAGCAGGTTATCGAGATCGTGGAGGACTTTGGCAAGTACAGGGTCCTCGTCAAACATCTCCAGGTAAAATGTTAGATTGTTGCAGGATAGGACATCAAGCAAAACAGCACTTCGTACTTAGGCACCTGTTGTTGTCGCCATGCACGGATCCAAACAATTTCGCATGCATAGGATAGACAACCCCGATTTCGAGTCTTGTTGCTGTTGTTGGCAGTGGCGGTGCTGGTGTTGCTTTCGTGCACCTCGCTTCGAAGCACCAGGTATTTTGTTGCGTATTAAATTGCTCTTGTTGATGGTCGTTGATGTGATGTTGGTGTCGATTTTGCGTTGGTTTAGCGAGATCTCGACAAAAACTCGACAACGAGTATATTCAGGAAGTCACCTCGGAAGCCCACAACGCTCGCTGCAAGAACAATACCCGACATTCGTTTGGCCTGAAACCGTGCAGGAGCATAACAACGCGGGGAGAGTGCTCATCTTCGTCGAGACCAAGAAGGGCTGCGACGCTCTCACCCGCTCCCTCCGCCACGAGGGCTGGCCCGCTCTTTCCATCCACGGCGACAAAAACCAGGTGTGTTGCGTGTTCTACATGTACGTTAAGACAGATCAGTAAGCGTCTATTCTATCTCGGTGCGCACATTGGTACCCGAACACGGACGACGACATTGTTAACAGCAGAGCTACAAATGCAAATCCAGCACCCCGAATCTATTCGCATTGCTTGTGCTTTTTGTGTGTCTTCTGTTGCGCGTAAGCTTGCACATCTACTCTCTTGCGTTCTCGCGGGCTGTGGTCCGTTCTTTCCCCTTGACCCCCCACTCGCCCCTTCGCCCCCGCGTCTGCCTCGTTACCATCGACCTCCTTCCTCCCCTCTCTGCTGCCTCGCGTTCACTCACTCCTTTTTTTTTTTCATTATTTCTCCTAGAGCGAGCGCGACCGTGTCCTGCACGACTTCAAGGAAGGGAGGTCGCTAATCCTGGTGGCTACCGACGTGGCGGCCCGTGGGTTGGACGTCAAGGACATCCGGATGGTCATCAACTTCGACTTCCCCAAGGAGATGGAGGTAACGTGGGTCGGAAGTACTGCCGCGCCTGGTGACGTTTCTTCAAAAGCGGTATTTTTGGTCTCCTTCGAGTACATGAGACGCGAGCCGGTTGTGATGATGCTAAGTACGCGGCGAACATGCGCGGCAGTGTTTGGCGTACGGGTTCCATGTTGGTGTGAACAGCGTGTGCGCGTGCTTGCGTAGAAAAGAACCACGCTCCCCGCAACGATGGTTGGATGCTGATCAGTCGGAGGTAACATATGGCTGTGACTCTTTGTTGTGTGTGTTTTATCCCGGTCACGAGCTCCGATTGTTGTACGGGCAGGAAATCAAATACTCGGTAAAATAAACGGTGAACGGATGCACGCGGACTGATCACTGCTTGAAGGATGGTGACGGCCGTTCATGGCCCTATGTTTGTCTATGTTATCAATAGAAAGACGACGGAGGCTATGAAAGGTGGCTTGGGGTGGGGTGGCGGTGATGACGGTCATGCGCTGCACAAAACATGGGCATGTACACGTGGTGCAGCAGCAGTGGACGCGGCGTGTACTCAGGGTGATGATCACGAGCAGAACCCACGCGGGGTATGTTGTCGGGTCATTTGTTCTTCTTCTGTATCTTGGTCTAAGCTTCGAAGGGACAGAACGGAGCACGTCCGAAGTGAACACCAACAGAATTCGGAGCAACACTGCAGGTAGAACAACTGTTGAAGAATGCGTTTCACCTCGAACAAGTTTGCCAACGGATTGTTAAGAGGCTAGGCTAGGCTAGGTGATGGATATTTTCTGCTAAGTAAATAAAATACATGTTTCCTTTTGTGGAAGCCGAAGGAAAGAGAGCAAACCTCGATTAGTTTTGTACACCAACCCCCCCTCTCCCCTCCTCCCGCGACCCTCTGTTTGTCTTGTTTTTAATACGGGATCACGTGCCGTCGACTCTTGGGTCAGTCGTACGTCCACCGCATCGGCAGGTGCGGGCGTGCAGGGCACAAGGGCACGGCTATTAGCTTCTTCGCCGCGAAAAACTCCAAGTGCGCGAGGGAACTCATCAGGATCCTCAAGCAGGCAAACCAGAAGGTAGGCGTGCGTTGTCTTCCGTGCTGTGGTGAATTTATTCAGTGTCTGGTTGCCAATACATCAACGTGGCCTCGCTCTAGAATTACCGCCAGAAAATCATCGTGCTTCGTGTTTTTGTTGTGCATGCTTGTGCTGGGGATTAATTTGGAAAGGGGGTTAACACGATATTGAAACAATAAACATCGGTGGGGGACAGTTGGAGCCAGGGTTGTCGAGATCCAAGTTCATTCACGTAACACGTTATCTCTTACATACACAGAAAAATAGCTCTTCATGGTTGCTACGATAGATGCCGTGCCCCCGCCTTTACCGCTACAGCCGAGACGACCAAGGCAGTTAGTTGTACTATTGACAGCCACAAGGACCAGCATGCAATGTTCAAAGTCTTCAACCTCGACGAGCCATCACAATCGCGTGCTTTTCGATGGTTGCGTTTGTGATCCAATGCTCGAGGGGGGATATACGAAGAGGGGGGAGGGGGGGGGGGGTACCAACGATAAGTTTCCCCGACGTCGACAATAGCCCGCGGGGTCAACCCGAAACATTTTTGGGCTCTCTGCCGTTTGGGTTCGACAGGGAGAGGTGACTCAGCGGGGGCGGTTAACTGAAACAAGTTGACGGTATGCCGTGTCAAAAGTTAAACAGAGGCGGCACGGCCACCGAGAACCACCCACGCATCGAACAACGCATAACCTGCGGCTAGAAGTTTGTGATAAAAGGCATCCCTACCCCGAACCCGCAAGTCCCTCCACCTCTTCGCCGCCGGGATAGGCTCTTGCGCGCAAGTTTCGGAGGTGTCTTTACCATGATTGGAAGAGGTAAGAAATTAAAAACAGTATGCCGTATCGAAAGGGGTACGCGGTGAGAGCTCAAGCTACTTAGAGGCAAGCCTCATTGAGTTATCCCCATACCCCCCCTGTCTTGACTGTGGAAATTCCGTCATGCACCGGTCCGGCCTTGCGTTTATGTGTTTTTCGCAAGAGTCCATGGCCTGCGACTATGCATGATGACTCCCCCCCCCCTTATCCGCAACATTTTTTTGACAGGTGCCGTCCGAGCTGAGCGGCATGGCGATGGGAGGCGGCGGTGGTGGTGGGTACGGGCGCTACGGGCGTTGATTGGGGCTTGCCGGAATGAAGCCGACGGCTGGTGGAGCGTGCTTGGCGGCCATCGAGCAAAGAATGGAAGACAAACAAATCCAGACGACGAGGACTACGGGGTGGGGGGTGATGTTTTTTTTTGTTTTGGCACAACGGGTCTCACCCTTGCCCCTCGAAGCGGTACTCTATTCAGCTTGAAATACCGATTGAAGATGGAGACGAGAAGGGTGCAAATTTGGTACCTGTGATATAGTCTAGGGGTAGATTGAATGTAGTGACGGATGGACGGGGTACGGTAGGGTGGGGGCAAGGCTCATAAGCAGTGTGCACCCCCAGCATGAAGAATTATACAATAGGCCCCCTCTTGTTGGTCGTCGGCCGTGTGTGTCGCTCCTACCTATCGCACGGTCCGGCCCTCCCAACGAAATGGGATTTATCCTATCCGGGGTCATGCTGACGGTTCCTCTTGGCTAGACTATCCCCAAGGTGGAAAACTAAAGACATGTTGGGAGGCGCAGAGAGAGAGCGAGTAGGTTGTGGCCTATCTTGCCTTCCCTTTTTCACGGCGTTGCTGATAGAATTGATTGAGCGAGAGGGGCAACACGTCAAATATGACGAGAAGAGAAGTTGATGTGTCCTTGAAGTGACTCTCGAGTATATTGTATACTTCGCAGAATATGTGCAGATTAACGTATGGTATGTCGTGTCCAACGCGGCGTTGAGAGTACCTTCCCCTGCTCTTTCGGTTGCTCGTATACTGTACTACGTCACGTCACCTTTCGCCGATGTTGTTGCGCAGGTGTGTGGTTTTGCACGCACCGTGTTCGGATATTACCTTTCTTTTGGGTGCCCACTTCTACGGTAGTTGGAAAACAAGCACCTTTTTTTCGGGCACTGTCGAGTAGGTGCGTGAGGGTGGTGTGAAGATGTTCATTCTATGCCGTCGTTTGCGTAACGAATACCACCATTGGCGTGAAGGATGTAACGTGCAAGGAAGCAAGGTGATCGGCTGACAAAATACAGAACGACCAAGCGCCGGTGGAGTGAATCAAGTATATGGCCTATGGACCTGTGCATAGCGGGTCGATGGAGAGGGAAGAAATGCTTCACTGACTGCAGTACATCGCTCAAGCTACAGACGATGCTTGGTCCCCTCTGCCAGCTAGCCACTGGGGGTTTCGTGGGAAAGGGCATGGATGCACGTAGGCACTCATCAACCGTCGGTGCGTGCACCTACATCGCCAAGGTTTCCCTGAAGGCGTGCATTCTCCCGAAATTATTGGGGTTGCAAACCCAGGCCCCATACGTAGGTTCTACACGCAGCAACACGCTGCACCCCCGATCTACCACGCTTTCGTGTTTCCCGCCTCGCAATCAAAGGGGGGCATCGCCCCTTACACCTCCTAACACTAAACACATCAATGTCACCTGCAATCAAAGTTTGAAGTACAAATGCAAAGTCTGTGTGCCCGTACTTGCAGTTTACGAGACGCCCCGAAAAGGCAAGGTGACCACGTGATCACGACAGCGATGCTGCTGCGATGCGCGCACGCCACCAACAGGTGTTCGAAAATGCGGGCCAGCTACGGAGATCAGACCAACGACAGAAAAAAAAAAAAATTACCCCACGACAGACGCGGCAGCGAATATAAACCCCTTCGATACAAGCATNCCACCAACAGGTCTTCGAAAATGCGGGCCAGCTACGGAGATCAGACCAACGACAGAAAAAAAAAAAAATTACCCCACGACAGACGCGGCAGCGAATATAAACCCCTTCGATACAAGCATTGAACTCCGAGCACAAGACAATTCGCGCAAGACGGCCCAACGGACATCCTCACAAATCGTTTGTGGTTGGACTACCACTGCCCACATGGGGTCCAACCAGTGGGAAACCTACTCTCCACTTCGATGGTTAAGGTACTGCACTGGAATATCAATAACAATGCACAACGAGCGAGCAGATGACGCTTGCTAGACAGTTTCATCGGACTGCTTAGGCCAGAAAACACCCCGCATCGTAGGTCATCGTGTCGAAGGCATGCGTCTGACGAGGCCACTCCATGCCCGTTCAGGACCCGCTGAGAAGTGGACGGCTGCAAACAAAAGGCAACGACGGCATGTAGGGAAGGAGGGAGGAAGGGAGGGGATGTCAACACTGTGCAGCGCTTTGAAGCCAACGAAGATCCTTCCGTTGTGCATGACATTGTTTCAGCTCCTTCGAGCGGTGTTGACATGCGCCTCAAGGGCATCTGTTATCTACGGTGTCTTCCCGTGCGGTGCCTTTTGCCACCTTTCCTTGTCACGAGAAAACCAGCCCTGGTGAGGACAAGCTACATATCTAAGGTGGTGGCCAGAGAACGAACCGTATCACAGCACTTCACCACGCAGCAGGCACAGCACTACAGAAGTGCGGGAGCTACACCAGGCGGATAAACAGCGGCACGCCTGCGTTGTTCACCTGAGTGGGCGGCTAGTCCCCTGGGGTCGGGTCGGTGATCTCCTGCTTGAGCTCCTGGACCACCTTCGCCCACCATCGCTGGAGAAAGAATGGCCGAGGCGAATGAGGGAGAAGGGAGGTGGCATTAGACAGATCATCTTCAAACAGTTTCCACGTACGCAGCCGCGCTTGTCAGGTTGCTCAATGCCATCTCACAACGCTATGCATGGCGAGGGGGGTAAGGGCCAAGAGTACACCAGTGTCACACGGTCACATCGCTTGCCTCACGGAGGCGTGATGCTCCAATTGTTTTCGGCTCAGTACGAGGCGTTTTGAACAGAGCACCTATTGCCAAAGCTTTGCAAACTTTCCAGAGCAGGGAATATTGCAACCCGAGTTCGAAGGCAAACAAATTGAAAAAAAATCCCAAAGATAGAAAATTACCCTAGACCTTACTCATTGCCAGCGTTTTCGAAACATTTCCACATTTTCGATGACTTCCAAATGTTTTGAAAGTAGAAGTTTGGAAATATCATTCATGTTCAAAACGCCCCCAAGAGGTAAGCCTTCTGTCTGTGCTTCTGCTGTGGTATCAGCTCGTTGGTGGCATCGTTCGGGGCAGCCCCACACGCACCGTTATGTTACGTCAACCGCAAAACACCCACGGGCGGTACGTTCTCATCATCGTTCAGGCGATCTTACGCACAGAGCAACGTACCAATCAACACCGCGCTTACCTCTTTCTTCACTTCTTTCGCCAGTGGAGGAGACGGCGGCGATGCCCGGGCATAGCCAAACTTCATAATGAGAGAGAGTTTGGTGGGGAAGGCCAAGAAAGGAGATTTCATGACGGCTTCCAGAGTGGTAGGAGGCATGGCGGGGTCTTCCGACGGGACCTTGATGTTCTTCTCATATCCGGCGATAGACTCCGAAGCTCGGCTTAAGCTGGCCGGCTTGGCCTGCAAATAAAGAACAGGAACGGCGGACGCGAGAAAGGCGGGGGGGGGGGGGGGGGGGGGG